ACCTGCAATTGCAAGACATACCCAATTTTTACAGATGTTGATACGGGAAAAATGTGCATCTTGGAATGGAAGAAATCACGTAATGCTTTTGTCTAGGCAATTCTCTGGATAGCTGGCCCCAGTTAGGACCCACAAATCTTGTCCTTGCACTTTACTATTGTTGTATCTAAACCTTTAATGACTAATCGTTCTTAATCTTATTGCTGCTATATGATATATACACTTTAGTCACTACTTCTATCCTTTACTGTTATTGCACCAGTCTGCCCACCCATGACGAGACACTGAATTTTGCTATTGGTTGTTGGCTCTGATGTCCGTTTTATATATTGCTTAATGTTGTTTTTATCTTGTTTTATATTGGGTTTTTTTTGTTATTACTTTGTTATTATGCATTCGAATGTGTTATGTTTTAACTGTATTGTTGGGTTTGGCCCCATGTAAGCCGCCCCGAGTCCTAACGGGGAGATGGGGGTGGAGTATAAAAGTAAAATTATTATATTATTATTACTAGCTGTACCCACCATGTGTTGTTGTGGACAACCTCCTCTCTGTCTTTCCCTCCCTCTTTCCTTCCTTCCCTTGTCTTCTTTCCTTCTCTCCTTAATTCCTTCTCTGCCTCTTTCCTTCCTTCCCCCTTTTTCTTTCCTTTCCTTTTTCTCTCCTTCCTTCCTTCTCTACCTCTTTCCTTCCTTCACTTTTTGCTTCCATGCTTCCTTCTTTCTTTCCCTTCCTCTTTCTTTCTTTCTTTCTTTCTTTCTTTCTTTCTTTCTTTCTTTCTTTCTTTCTCCCCTTCCTTCCCTCCCTCTTCCTTTCCCTTTTCTGTATTGTCATTTGGCTTTTCAACATTTAGCTTTTTGGGATTTTAAGTCCTTTCCGCTATGTTTTTTTTGGGGGGGGAGGGGGTGTTATGAGTGATGGTTACTTGTTGGTCTGTTAGGGGTATAGTGTCCAAATTTTGTGTCAATTAATTCAGTGGTTTTCGAGTTATGTTAATCCCACAAATGAACGTTATATTTTAATTTATACTAGCCGTCCCCTGCCATGTGTTGCTGTGGCCCAGTCTGTGTTTTATGTGTGTATGTATGTATATATGTGGTTTTGCGCATGCGTTGTAATGTACTTTTTTTAGCTTTTTAAGTCTCTTCCACTGTGTTTTTATGAGTGATGGTCACTCATTGGCCTGATAGGTGTACTGTGTCCAAATTTGGTGTTCATTCATCCAGTGGTTTTTGAGTTATGTTAATCCCACAAACGAACATTACATTTTAATTTATATAGATTAGTATTCACAATAAGCGCTTTGCGTGTGCATACCCCCTTCATAATCCACTCTCAAAGAACAAAAAAGAAGCAGTGTAGATATTGGCTCCATCTTGCCTCTTCCACTGATATCAACACATGTCTGTGGTTAACATTTGCACAGAACATAAAGAGGTCCGAGCCTTCCCGGGAGTTTTGGGAAGCATTCTGTATTTGAAAGGATTACAAAGAAGAAAATCCGAATCTGTGTTCAAGTTTAATAGACTTTTTACTGCATAGCTACTGAGATAACTAAGGGTATAAAACTGGTGAATTGTACGATTTTATTTTCAGCATTAAAAGGTTTATAATGGAGTCTGGCAAGCCAAGCTTCTTGGATGTATGAATAAACCTCCTTTTGCGATTAAAAGATTCCAAAGTTCATATAAAACCACTCACCGTTCACAATGAATCACTTTTTGTTCATAATCTGAGCCTCAGAGGCATCCAAAAACAAATAGCCTTAAGTGAACGTTCTCTTTTGTCATTCGGTAAAGCACCGGTGTCTGTAAAGTCCCCACGTTGTTCAACCTGACTGCATTTCTACAGCACAGGGATCATACACCAAGATGCGATGATTACAAATAAAAAACGCTTTTGAAAAAGATTATTTTATATACTTGACAGATTTCCTAAACCACATTTTCTTCCAACATTAATGAAGCAAAAACCGATTTCCACTTCATGACATTCTCTTACTCACCCCATCAAAAATAGCAATCTATGTAAATAAAAATTTAATGTTTATTTGTGGAATTATCATAACTCAAAAAGCACTGGATGAATTGACACGAAATTTGGACACAATACACCGATCAGGCCAACGAGTGACCATCACTCATAAAAACACTGAAAAACACAACAGAAGGGACTTAAAAAGCAAAAAAAAAGAAGCAAAAAGACGCTATTTGTAAAAACAACTCACCCTTGCAAACAAAACACACAATAGCATATCCACACTCTCTTCTGGACTGCAGCTCCCAGCATCCCCTAGACCAGGCCCTTTAGGAAAGGAGGATGATCCAAATGCACTGCTTCCAAGGTGCAAGCTTTCTTTTCCTTGGATTTCTTTGAGAGCATCCCAATCCCTGCATATTTCCAATTTCCTATTCCTGAACTGCAACTCCCAGCAATCCTCCAGATAGATTAGATAGATGGATAGATAGATAGATAGATAGAGAGAGAGAGAGAGAGAGAAAGAGAGAGAGAGAGATAGAGAGATGAGATAGAGATAGATAGATAGATAGATAGATAGATAGATAGATAGATAGATAGATAGATAGATAGATAGATAGATAGATTGATCAGGAGAAAGAGGAAGGGAAAAAAGGGGGAAGAGGAAGAGAAGGAAGGAAGGAAAAAAGGGAAAGAAGGAAAGAGGGAGGGAAGGAAGGAGAGAAAGAAAGGAGAAGGGAAAAGGGGAGGGGAGGTTGGCCACAGCAATGTGTGGCTGGTACAGCTAGCAGAATATATTATGGTGTATTGTAGCCACTAAAATTTTTAAAATTGCTTTCTAGGAAATCAGTCAGGAAGTGGGGAGAGGTTTGCTACAGATAGACTCCCTCCTCAAACAAACTCCAGAGCTTGGAAGTTTCTACTGATCCCTAACAACAAATTCCTTAACAACACCACATAAATACATGGAAGAAGTACAATAGCACAAGACTCATGTACTAAATCCAATGCTGGTGCCTAGTAGTAGATCTGATAAAATAGTTAGGACATGTAAGTCACCACTTATATAAGTTCTAGTGATTTCAACATTACTTCTTCCTTTGATTGCTATGGGTTTGTTCACTTTTTTCCCTAGATTTAGAGGGGCAATGTCAGTTACAGCCATCATTCAGCAATGTTGCTGGATTACACTTTAGGTGCATCTACACTGAATTAATATGGTTTGATCCCACATTAACTGCCAATGCTATGGTATCATGTCAGTGGTGCAATGGTATTATGTCAGAGTGGTGCAATGGGTTAAACCCTTGCGCTGGCAGGACTGCTGACCAAAAGGTCGGTGGTTCGAATACAGGAAGCGGAGTGAGCTCCCATCTGTCAGCTCCAGCTTCTCATGCGGGGACATGAGAGAAGCTCCCACAGGATGGTAAAACATCCGCGTGTCCCCTGGGCAACATCCTTGCAGATGGCCAATTCTCTCATAGAAGAAGCAACTTGCAGTTTCTCAAGTCACTCCTGACATGAAATATCATGTCACAGAAGTAATGCAAAGTGGTAAATATTTTAAGCTAGGATCAAAACACCCCCACATTCTCACTTCTCTCATTCTCACACTTTCATTCTTATCTGTCTATTCTGACATTGGTTCCTACTCATTCACTCACATTTCCATTTATGGTTGCCCTCTGTATCCAGGGATTAAAAAAAATGGCACTGATTTCGCTATATTATATAAGGCATTCCATTTTACTATGCCATTGTATACTTGAACATCCAGATTTCGGCATACACATCACATCCTGGAACCAAACCCCAGAAGACACCCAGGGCCCACTATATTCTGCTTTTTCTCCCTAGCAAAATCACATAGGCTCAGATTTCCCATCATACTATTTTTAGTGTAGCCAGCATGGAATAGTGCTTTCATGGTTGGACTCCAGAAAGCAAGGTTCAAAGCCATGGAAACCAACTGGGTGACCTTGGCCAAGTCACATCCTCTCAGCCTCAGCGGGATAAACCCCCTGTAACAAATCTTGCTAAGAAAACCTCCGGATAGTTTGTCTAAGTGTCACCATACATTGGAAAGGACCGACATGTTTTTTTTTTAGCGTTGCACTTTATTTACTTCCTGATTTTGGAGTTTTTTAATACGATATGCTCGAATTTGAATACTGGTGGGGTTGGGGGGGGGATTGGTTTTATCATTTGGGAGTTGCTGGGATTTATAGTTAACCCACAATCAAAGAGCATTCTGAACTCCACCAAGGATGGAATTGAGCCAATCTTAGCACACAGACTCCGATGACCAAGAGAAAATACTAGAACGGTTTGGAAGGCATCGACCTTGAGTTTTGGAGTTGTAGTTCACTTACATTCAGAGAGCACTGTACACTCAAACAATGATGGATCTGTACCAAAAAGGGCTAATAGGCTGGCCAATCACAGAGGAGGAGGGCTTTGGGTGGGAGGGTTCGCCATTTGTTTCCAAAAAGGAATAGAAGGATAGGCCAAAGGGGTTCCTAAGACCATCAGAAACCGTTCTCTGCCAAAGGGATTCCTAAGACCATCAGAAATATATGTTTTCTTGTGGTCTTTGGTGAACCCTCTGAAACCCCCTCATGAACCCCACAGGGTTGAGAAATGCTGCTCTATCGTTTTTACTAGTTCAATTGCCCTTTGATGCATCTTTTCTATTCAGCCATATTCTGTTTGAGGCACAATAACCAGATTCCAAATGTGGCTGCACTATAAATGAGTACCTTTTGTGTCATAGCAAATTCTACTGTAAACAAACATTTTAAGTAACTTCTTAATTAATTCCCTTTGTATTCACCAGCCTGGATTCTTTCCAGTTAGCCTAATACTTTCTTGCACACTTATTTTTAGAGCGATCTACACCCAGACCCTCACCAGCAACTTGTCAGTATGCATTGCATTAAAACATGAACCTTCAGAACATCCATTAAATAGATTACAGACTTCCAAAGCAAACACATTGTGAGAAGTATCTCAAGTGTCGATACCTGGTATTGTCTGTGCCATGGCCTCGGTGGGCATGACGGGAGCTGTGTTCGACTGCTGCTGGCTAGAGCTAACCTCCGGCTCTATACTAACAGAAGGCGATAATGCTACATCGCTGGGATCTTGATTTGGCAAGGGCTGGGAGAGCTCTTCTGAGGCCGCTTGCTCTTCTTGCCCAGGGAGCTGCAAGGCTGATAAGGGAATGCTTATGGGTTTGCCAGCATTGGAAGTGCTGGCGGGCATCTGGAGGGCTACCTGTGGGTTGACTGCCGCCGTGTTGCCAGGTCCTCTGCTGGGCGATGCCAGAGGCCCCTTGGGAGGCTTCTGAGCAGTTGCCCTTGACATGACGGGCGAAGAAGCAGAGACACTTTGCAACTCAAGTTCAGCACTGAGTGGCACTGTTGCTTGAGGGGTGGGCTTAGATGCCATGGGGTAGGGGGCTCCTGGGTGAGCTTTTGGTTTTGACATCTGTGTCAGAGACAATGCAGGCCCATCAATGCCACCAGTAATTTCTGCATTAGCCACAATGTAATAATCCTCAGGGAGTTCTTGTTTGATTTTCTTGACCAGCACATCGTTGCTGTCTGTGCCGATTGCCTGGGAGCGGGAACCTGGATGGAATGAGGAAGAGGGACCTGGGCCCAATCTTTTGCGGGAACGTGTCTGAGATCTTTGAGGGTGAGTTTCAAAATCGCTGTCTTCGTCTGTCACCGAGGACTCACAAACCATGTCAAAAAGAGTGGCTTCATCTTCATATTCCTCGACTGCTTCATCAAGTTCAGAAGGTTCACTGCAATAGGAGAAATCGCAGGAGTCTCTAGTTCGGTTGCAGTCCAGCTTTGTTTTTCCAGCCCGCCCAGAATATCTCTCCACAGGGCTGGTTTGAGTGTCTGAAGCAACACCTATAATACTGGGGCTGTCTGAATTGAAGCTCCTGCTGTCTTGGAAGCAAACTCTTTCTTGAGAGCCAGCCCTACACGTTGCCGTCAGAGGCCAATGGTAGGCATGGCCTGCACTGCAGCCCCACATGGCTGTCAGGTTGCCATGGGAGCCCTCCGAGAGAAGGTGCTTCAGATTCGGGATGAGGCTGCAGATGGTGCCATGGCTGTGAGCCCAACTGACCAGTTTGGAGAGGTTTTCAGAAGAAGTGTGAAGGCAGTCCTCCATGGTACAGCCTCAGCACCTTTGTTCCTGGAAGAGAGAAGAGAGAAGGTCATACCGGGACCAAAATCTGCAAAACATAAATTGACGTTTTATAATAATCCATCCACATTTTAAGTTTTAACTTCTGCGGCTTACATCCGGCACAATTCGATGTTATTATATATAAATAATGTAAAGGTAAAGGTAAAGGTAGTCCCTTGACATTAAGTCCAGTCATGTCTGACTCTGGGGTGTGGTGCTCATCTCCATTTCTAAGCCGAAGAGCCAGCGTTGTCCGTAGACACCTCCAAGGTCATGTGGCCGGCATGACTGCATGGAGCGCATGGAGTATTATAATGTAATACTGTATGTATTATATAAATAATACATACAGTAATTACATATAAGTACACAGTAAATTAATTTTAAAATTAGTTTTAAAATAAAAAGTACATTAATAAAAAGTGCAATAATACTGGCTGTCTAACCTTATGTAGAAACAAATTCAGCGAGCACAACACAATCGGAAGCCTGTCCATTGTCCGTTTTCCATAATATTACCTTCATTGCCATTGTAAATTATCTGCCAGCTACCCAAAGGCCTGGTCCCATAACCACGTTTTCAATTTCCTCCTGAAGGCAAGGAGGGATGTTGTTGACCTGATTTCGCTGGGGAGCGAGTTTCATAGGCCCTGTCCCTCGTCCCCGCCAAGAGTGTTTGCGCCAAAGGTGCAAAGGCCTCCCCAGAAGATCTTAAACTTCGAGGTGGAATGTAGAGGGAGATACGTTCAGACAGGTAAGCTGGGCTGGAGCCGTATAGGGCTTTATAGGTCAAAACCAACACTTTGAATTGTGCTCGGAATTGGACCGGCAGCCTTCAACAATACATTATACCAGCATTCTGTTCTCACATTGCTGCATTAGAATGCTCTTGGGAATCCTCCAAAGTATAAGTACACTATTATCCTCTGGCATTGAGAGGCATGCTACTGCTATCAGAAACCTATAGCTAGCCACTATATGTGGGTTTGCACCCAATGCTCTCCCCAAATTCCTCTGCATTCCTCTGTGGTCTGAGCATGTATGCATCTCATCTATCATCACTGCTTGAAGCTTCACCCTTCCTCCATTTGCCAAGTCTCCTCACTACATTTTATTTAATGTTCTTCTCTCCTTTGAGAATTTACGACTGTTCAAGCTCAGTTTTTATTTATTAGTTCATACACAGTAGGAACAGTTGGAAAATTAGCTTTGCCTATATTTATGCTCGAAATACACAGCAGTAACGGCAGGTGATTTGGGGGAGTGGGAATAAAAAAATTGTTTTCAAGTTACTTTGACAGTGCAATGGCATTCCCTGAACAGGAGATTAATCCTGATCCTCTTATCAGGAGAAACGACTGCAGCAACGAGGCATCACCAGCAGGTGATCTAATAAACAGTGAACAATTTTTCTTCCTTGCTTACAGGACTTTAATGAAGGAATTTGTTTTCCATTTGCTTCGGTCCCAGCGTAGTGGTGCCACATTCCTTCTAGTCAACTACCATAATTCTCCAACCCTTGGCAAGGACTTTGCAATGGAGGGGGTGGGGTGGGTGGGAGTTGTTACGCCAAGTATCAGATGGCTCGGTTTCGGCTGCTTCTATTGCCATCTTAACAGATGCTAAACAGACTGCGAGCAGATTGCCATCAGAAGCAAGAACAGACCTTTTTCTCACAAAATAGAACGATTAGCTCAACATTGGACACCGAACAAACACAAATGCAGATGCTTTGTCAATTTGCTTCCCATCCACTCTGTCAATGTCCTTTACTCTTAGAAAAAATATCACGAGGTGCATCTACACTGCAGAATTGATGCAACTTTACACCACTTTTATTGATGCTCCAGAATTTGATATTTCTTGAGACTAAATTTGGCTTAACCTGGCACCGAGTTTTTAAAGCACTGCATACTCAGGTTGGTATGTTGTGCTACATTTTTAAATATTTGCATCTGATCCTAATTTAAAATGAAACACACAGTTATTTTAAGGCAGATGAGAACTATTAATTAGGTGTTGTTGCTTGCCTGATTAACCACCGTTTTGGCTCATCAACACTCGAGCCAACAAAAACAGTCATTCACTAAGGAAGTGCACACTCAAATAATTAGCGAAAGGTTGCAAGGGGCTTTGCTAGGTTACTAGACATACAAATAATTATGCACATGTCTCCTTTATCATGGGCATATAATGAATTACATATTATCTGTTCAGTACAGAAGCTTGTGGAAGAAAATGGTTTTCAAATGCTATGAATACTGCTGTTTTATCTACAGCAATTGCTGTATTTTATTCTTTTTACCAGGGGGTACTGTGAATTTATGATATTGTGTTGACTGTTTATCGTTTATGTTTTGTTTTGCAGTTGTTGTATTTTGCATGTCACACCTTGAGTGTTCTGTGAGCCACCCCAAGTCCCTCTGGGAGATGGTGGCAGGATATAAATAAAAGATTATTATTTTACTGGCACAAAAACACAGTATAACAAAGCAAACGAGATATATATGCTGGATTTCGAATACAAAATCACAAGTTGAACACTTCCTAAGCATTTAGGACGGTATGATGTATTTTCAAATAATGCACGCAGATCTGAGTAAGGTGGCCTTTTGCAGTTGGCAGATCGTGATTTTGTCAATGTTTATTGTTTCCAAATGCCGGCTGAGATCTTTTGGCACGTCACCCAGTGTGCCAATGACCACTAGGACCACCTATACTGGTTTATGCCAGAGCCTTTGCAGTTCAATGTTGAGGTCTTGATAACGGCTGAGTTTTTACTGTTATTTTTCCTCAATGCGACTGTCACCTGGAATGGCAACATGAATAACCCAAACTTTTTTCTTTTCCACAATCGTGATGCCTGGTTATTGTGTTCCAAAACTTTGTCAGTCTGGATTGGAAAGTCCCACATTATTTTTGTGTGTTCATTTTCCACTACCTTTGCAGGTTTATGATCCCACCAGTTCTTTACTACTGGCGGGTGGTACTTGTGGCATAAGTTCCAATTAATCATTTGGGCCACAGAGTTGTGTCTTTGTTTGTAGTCCGTCTGTGCAATTTTCTTGCAGCAGCTGAGGAGATGATCCATGGTTTCATCAGCTTCCTTGCACAGTCTCCATTTTGGGTCATCCACTGATTTTTCAATCCTGGCCTTAATTGCATTGGTTCTGATGGCTTGCTCCTGGGCTGCAAAAATCAGGCCATCTGTCTCCTTCTTCAGTGTTCCATTCGTGAGCTAGAACCAGGTCTTCTCCCTGTCAACTTTTCCTTCAATTTTGTCAAGGAACTGCCCATGCAATGCTTTATTATGCCTGCTGTCAGCTCAAGCTTGTAGTGCAGTTTTCTTGTACTGATTCTTTTTCTGCTGTGCTTTGAGAAGTTTCCGATTATTGACTTCAATCAAAGCAGGTTCTTTGCTTTCCTTTACATATTCTGCCAGGGTGTGTTTTTCTTCTTCAACTGCTTGTTTTACTTGTAAAAGTCCTCTGCCACCAGACTTTCTAGGTAGATAGAAGTGGTCAACATGGTGAGGGCGCAGTGAAAAATGAATGGTCATGAGTTTTCTTGCTTTTCTGTCCAAATTGTCCAGTTTCACCTGCGTCCAGTTTATGATGCCAGCAGTATATCTTATGACAGGTATGGCTCAGGTGTTTATGGCCTTGGTGGTATTGCCTCCATTGAGCTTGTTTTGAAAAAATTTCTGACCTTTTGAATGTATTCTTTGCTGACCACAGTTTTCACAAGTTCATGTTTGATGTTCAGCTGTAGTATGCCCAGATATTTATAAGCCTCTGGCTGGTGACACTTTATTTCTTGACCATTGGGCATATTTATGCCCTCATTTTCAATGATTTTTCCCTTCTTCAGTGCTACCATAGAACATTTGTCCAAACCAAACTCCATGTTGATATCAGTGCTAAAATTTTGGGCAGTTTTAGTCAGAGACTGGATTTCAGTTTCGGTTTTCCCATACAGATTGTCGTTGTAGTAGTTGTTGTTATTAATTTCATAAGGTGTTTTTAAGTAAGGAATGTCCAGAGGCAGTTTTGCCGGTTCCTTCTTTCGAAATAGAGTTATAGAACCCATGTATTTGTTGGCTGTCTCACATCTAACTAATAACCAGGGCTGACCTTGTTTAGCTTGCTTTACCAAACAAGATCTAGCACCATTAGGGTACTTCAGTCACCCCTTTCTTCATATCTGTAATCTTTTTCTGTGTTTCTGTTGGCATGATATCCAGAGCTTAGCTTTCAAGGTGTTGGGTTTGAATCCATCTTTTAAAATAACCCAGTTCCTCCCGAGATTTTTGGCAATGTAGAAGGGCCTTGCGATCAGATCCTGGGATATAGAGCTGTGGAGACCTAGCCTCAGAAGGAGTTGGCTCTGTTCTTTAACATGAAGAAATATATAAAGCAGTATCTTGTGCTATCTAGTTCATGAGCCAAACAAGTTGTCAATATCTCTGTGAGCGAAGTGCTAAACGGATCTCAGTAGGCATTTATTTACTTTATTTACTCATAGAAAAATCTAGAAATGTTAGTCAAAAAATCAACGCAAAACACCTGAGTCAACTTATCCATGGGTTACTGTGACTACTGTACCAAAACTGTTATCAATAAAATGAACGATCTTCTTTTCTGACTAGAATCGCAACAAGGAAATGCTTATTCTGTCCAAGGAGATGTCAAAAGAAAGACCAATTCCCTCTATTCTTTCCACCATGGTTCTGCTTCTAGCCTCTTTGAATACCTGGGAAGAGAATTGGCAGTGGTAACCAGGGATGTCTGCCCCCCTAAGATGGCACTAGCATTTTCCCCTCTCTGAAGAATGACCCTCAACTTATCCACAGGTTATATCAAAATCTAGAATTATGGACCCAAAACCTGCCCTATATAGGAGGACATACAATATTTCTGGATTCAGAAACTGGATTATATGGAAGTGTAGATTCAGTCTCAATTTCTGGAAGAGTGAAGGAACTATCATATCTCATTGCATAATAGTCACACTTTAAGCCCTTTTTCATTGGGAAAAAGGAGGTGCAACTATTATGCAATGAAATAAAATTTTCCATTTTCTGGTTTGTTTGTTGTTATTGTTTTTTTTTTAAAAAAAAGCTGTCTTACCTCTGAGACAAAGAAGAGAGAGACCTCTCCGATAGTTTAAATCAGTGGTTCCCAACCTTTAGTTCTCCAGTTGTTTTGGACTTCAACTCCCAGAAATACCAGCCATCTGACCAGCTGTTAGGAATTGTGGGGACTGAAGTCCAAAACACCTGGAGGACCAAAGGTTGGGAACCACTGGTTTAAATTTTATTTGGGGAGGAAAGAGTGGAGAGAGAACTCTGTGCTTATTCTTGTACCTGCAACAATTATATGATGAAAGGGGGGGGGCGGATTTTGGGACCCTCGAAATGAGAGTGTAAATATTATGCGGTGGCGACTATTATACAATGAAATACAGTAACTATAACCATAAGACAGTCTTCTTTCACTCACTATTTTAGCACCTCCAGTGCCCATGCTTCCAGTCTTTGATCATGAATTACAAATGCAGTTGTGATTGTCAAAAATAAGGTATATATTGTTGTTGTTTCTAGTCTGTAGCAGAAAACAAACTTACCAGAGCACACCTAGGAAGTCTAACACAGGCTGGACAATTGGACTCGGGTTTCGACTCGGATTTCTTCAGGTATAAACCACAACCTTAACCGCAAAACCATCCATTTATCCATCTAAAAAAGAAAGTATAGAAGAAAGAGATACTCCAGTGAGAAAATAATTAATATGTCATCAGGTTTAGTGTTTTTCGCCTGGAATCAAGAGTTAACATACAAGATTCATATTGCTGGCTGGGGAAAAGAGCTCTTTCTCTTACCACATCAATGTATTTGCTTTTTCCTACATTACTGTAGGAAAAAGTAGAATTAGGCCATCAAATACCTAAAACATGGGCTTTCAAACCATTGCTTATTACATGACTCAGTAAAACAAAGCCTCGTCTTTTATGCACAGTCGGAATGATGAATTATTTCAGTGGCAGGTCACTAAAGTGTCAGTGCACAAAATCAGCAGCCGTTGTTTACATGAGCAAGGAAATTAAAGCCATGGCCTTGCATGCTGGGATACTCTTTGGCTTCCGCTGAAACTTGAATTCCATTTGGGATTATAAACTTTTTATACTGGATTATTTGCAATATTCTTGGTTTAAAAAAAATAAAACTTGTTTGTGCATCTGTCCCTCTGGGTCATTGGTATCTTCTCTGTACCATAATATTTCAGACACAATGTTTTTAAAAACAGACAAATCTTAAACTGGGTTGCTTTGACTTTTCCAGGCTGTATGGCTATGTTCCAGAAGCATTCTCTCCTGAGAACTGCAAATCCTACACTAATTATGCAGTGTAGTTGCACCCTCGATAAGGCTGCTCTTGGAGTGATTAGCCAAAACTGATAAAAGATGCGTCAAACAATAGAAATGTGCGTCATTTTAAGAAGCACTCCCAGATCTGGGTTGCTGTGACTTTTCTGGGCTGCATGGCCATATTCCAGAAGCATTCTCTCCTGACCACTGTAACAACCACCATGTCAGACTACACAGAGAAGCCATTGAAATCCACAAGCATATGGATAATTTCAACAGAATGGAGGAAACCATGAGAATGAACAAAATTTGTCTGCTGGTATTTAAAAAGACTCTAGAATCAGGACAGTAAATAAAGAGCAACACTCAAAAAGCAGTGGAATTCCAGACAAGAAAAAATCAGGGCCAGCCAACACTTCCAAACAAAGGATTCCCCCAGGCAGCAATCAGCCAGGCTTTGAAGCTGCAAGGCCATTCAATGCTAATCAAGGTGGCCAATTGCAACATTCACACTTGCCTAAAGCAGACAAGCGTTCTTTTTCCCATCCTGGACATTCCACAGATATATAAACCTCACTTTCCTTCAATAATGCATCTCACTTGCCTACTTTCCAACACACCCCTCAACTTCTAAAGATGCCTTCCATAGATGTGGGCGAAACTTCAGGAGAAAATGCTTCTGGAACATGACCATACAGCCCGGAAAACTCACAGCAACCCAGTGATTCCAGCCATGAAAGCTTCGACAACACACTCCCAGATCTTTTTACAACTTTACACTGGGGTGGCATATTTAGTACACCTTCCTTAAGAGAAACACCAGTTTTAATTTATTTTAATTAATGATATTTTTGTGCTGAATTGCATCCCAGAGAACCCATTTTTAATGGACAAATATACTAAAGCAACAGGAATATGTGGAGAAACTTAAATAGCATCCATTCAGCTTCTGCTACTAAGATACGGCATATCTAGTTGCATGCAGATGGTAGTGATATCAGATGTCTTCTGGACATTTGCATCAGATACAATAAATAATATATACCCAATGTTTTTTAAAAATCCATTTCATTCTATAACAGCTTACTTGAAACCTCACCGCACGTATTAGCCTATCTCAAACTGAATGCAACTCATCTGTCCAAACCCAAAGCCGAGGAGTGAATTAAATTTCCTTGACAATAATGCAATTATATGTTAGCATTGTTTATCTGCTACTGCTTTCTCGGTTGCCTCGTTTAAATGTCTGGAAAATGTAAAGGTAATAGAGTGTGCCACCAACGCAAATATTTTCCAGAATACTGCTATAATGAATCAAGCTATATGGAAATTAATCTGTTGTTTTTCCTTGCACATCCCCCAAAAACCCAGTCCAAAGACAAATAAACTGTTTCATTGGTACTGTAAAACACAACAACATTTCTGCAATTTGGCCTATGAGACGCTACCGTAGAATTATGCATATCGAGGAAATGACATTGTTGCATTAGCTTTCAGGATTTACTACGCATTATCACAGTTTGAGTGAGTAATTAAGAAGAGAATGGAGCAACACTTGAATGTTACATGACAAGGCAATGCCCTCCTGGTTTCTGTAACAGAAACTGGAGTGTTATGTTAATGATCATTCAAAACAGTTCCAACTGTAGCTTAAAGATCTTGGCAGGATCTGTGTGTGAGAGAGTGTGTGTGTATACATGTGTGAATGTGTGACTGTACAGTACTTGAATTTCGAATTCAGCTTGTACCAACTGAAGTAAACTGAGGCTGAAAGGAAAAATTGGGAGGAGGACTGAGAAACTGGAGCATCTGAAGAGTAGCTGGGCAAAATGGGATAAGGAAGGATCAATTAGGTCTGCCCCTGCCAAACTGTAACAGCTGGAGGGCATGTAATAAATGCACCACGAGAATATAGGGGTTATGTTGTAGTTCAGGCTGTGATGGCTCATGACGAAAATGGGGATGAAGGGCTTTCTTTTCTGTTGACAATGGGGATGAGGGTTTGCCTGGGCCCGAGTTAAGCCCAGAAGAGAGGCCTGAGGTGTGTCATGAAGATGAACAAGGTCACATTCCTGGGAGATGCCTTCAACAGTCTTCCTCTGAGAAACTGTCTTCAGAAGACGAATTGTCAGGTGCAGAATTTAATGAGAGTGAAGATAGAAACTATTTTATAAACAGAGTTCTCAAGGGTATCAAAGGTCAATTTGTTTGCAGGGAAAGAGAGAGAAGAAACCCTGTTTATAAAGGGCACGAGAAATGCTTTCCTTTCGGTTCTGGGATCATGAAAAGCTTTATATTGATACAAGGGAAAGAATTGGTCTCATCAATGTTGGAATTTCGGATGGTCCTGTTTTATATACCAAGTTATGCCAGGCTCCTGATCTGATTTTCATGCTGCCTTGTTCTATGGATTTTGTACCTTCAAATCTTATATTTTACCTTGTGTCTTGAATTTCATTTACTATTCTTTATCTTGGGACTATATTGTTTTTACCATTTTACTGTTGTTTGTTTCATGAACTCTGCTGCACAAGAGTAAAATTTAAGTTTCACATTTCTTATACTTGTGTTGCTCTTTTTTTAATATACAAAGGACTAATCTTCTGCTGGTCTGCATGCATTATCAAACAATAATATGAGGTCACGTCTGTCCAGTTGGGCCAAATCACATTTAACCTTGCAGGACAGCCATTCTTACCTCTGACTTTTATGTGACTGTAGCAGCAGCCACGGAGATCCAATGAGGTCCTGGCTGTTGCTGGGCACCTTTTGTGATGTCAACAAAGGTGTCACAACTTGGATAAAGCTGGGGAAAAAGATGGTGCCAATGAACCAAGGTGCGGGGAACAGCCAGGCTCTCCATAGAGCTTTTGTGTTTTGTGGCAGCCACAAAAACAAAATAGTAAGTGCTCTTCCTTTTGTCCATGTCGCAAAGCACAAGGAGATAGGATGGCAGCATTGTTCCATGTGGACACCTGGGCAAATTTGAATTCAATCTATCCCAAGTGTTGATACTACCCCAAAGTGAGGGCCTGTTCCAAAACTTCAGGGAAGATCCAGAGAATTCCCTGATTTTTCCTAATGCTGTGCAACACCACATTGACCAATTTGATCCCACATTTGTGGTTGGGAGACCCTAGATGTCATGTGGATTCCACGAGCATCTTCTCGCCAACTTCACACTAATCTTGAAGTCTAGTGGCCCATGTAGACAAGTACTTTAGCTCTGTATACATCCTGTTTCTTTTGATTCTCCATTTCATTTCTCACTTTTTATCACCCTCTTTCCCTTTCTTATTGTTGTGTGCCCTTAAGTTATTTTGGGCTCATAGTGACCCTATCATAGGGTTTTCTTGGCAAAATTTGTTCAGAGGGGATTTGTTTTGGCCTTCCTTGGGACTACAAGAAACCCCACATTTAGCATTCAGCTACAGTAGGTGTGAAACCTGACCTTGCTCCTTTCCATCTGTGGTGCAATGGGTTAAACCCTTTAGCCAGCAGGACTGAAGACTGACAGGTCGGAGATTCAAATCCAGGGAAAGCACAGATGAGCTCCCTCTGTCACCCCATGCAGGGACATGAGAGAAGCCTCCCATAAGGATGGTAAAACATCAAAACATCAGGGCATCCCCTGGGCAACGTCCTTGCAAACAGCCAGTTCTCTCACACAAGAAGCAAGTTGCAGTTTCTCAAGTCACTTCAGGAGACAGGTTCAAATACAGGGAGAGCGCAGATGAGCTCCCTCTGTCAGCTCCGGCACCCCATGTGGGGACATGAGAGAAGCCTCCCATAAGGATGGTAAAACATCAAAACATCCAGGCGTCCTCTGGGCAACGTCCTTGCAGGCAGCCAGTTCTCTCACACCAGAAGCTACTTGATACAATAAAAACCAGTTGCTCAAGTCGCTCCTGACACGAAAGAAAAAATCATGCCATACATAACTCTTTAAATTGATTAGGATTCTTCCCTCCCACAACTAAAAAGTCCCCAAACACAGTTGTGAAGATGTTTTAACATTGTTATAATTTCAATTCCCTATCTAGTCCTATAATACCATTTTTGAGATTGGCTAACCAAAACAATCCACAAAATTCCAAAGGCAGCTGCACCATAAAAGGTAAAGGATTCCCTTGACATTAAGTCTAGTCGTGTCCAACTCTGGATGGAGGTGCTCATCTCCATTTCTAAGCCGAAGAGCCGGCATTGTCCATAGACACCTCCAAGGTCATGTGGTCAGCATGACTACATGAAGCATTGTTACCTTCCTGCAGAAGCAGTACCTATTCACCTACTCACATTTACATGGTTTCAAACTGCTAGGCTGGCAGAAGCTGGGGCTAACAGTGGGAGCTCACCCTACTCAGATTCAAA